TGGTGTACCTAATAAAGTGGCCGGTGAGTATATATCCGATTTAAAACCACATACTGAAACGGCCTGGGTCGGATTTGAAAAAATCGGATTTGTCGCGTTCAGACTGTCATAAAAAAATCGGATATGAGTCAGATGGGTCAAAAAAATCGGATTTGGGTCGGATTTGCCTGCAGTGTGAACGTAGCCTAAGGCATATCATGTTCTTTTGTTGATCGTTTTGTAGAAGGAGCTTGGCTACAAAGTCCAGATTTTTGAAAAGAAAGTGGAATCATACAAAAAAATGACAAAGAAGTTCAGCAATGCAGTGGAATAYATCAAGGTAAAGTTACTGTCATGTCTCACGGTGTTCATATTACAGTTGTGTATGCATAAGTAATAAACTGAATGATTCACAAAGCAAGGATTGATTTACAAAGAAACCAGTAAGAATTGAGATGTAGGAAAATAGATTTTTTTTYCCACAAATTGTTTGCATGAGTGGTATATATTTCATTCATTCATGTATATATTTTGATTTTTATTTCTCTCTGACTTATTACAGTATCAGGCTGGAGAAGCAGAGAAAATCATCAAAGCAGAATTTGAAAGGCTCCGTAATGTGCTTAATGCTGAAGAACAAAAGCGTTTAAGTGCCTTGGCCCGTGAGGAGGAGGAGAAGGTCGAGGTCCTACGAAAAATGAGTGACGAGATAGAAGTGGACATTGTTAAAATAAAAGAGCTCATTGATTCTCTGAAGAGAGAGATGGGCAATGAGGATCTACCACTTCTGCAGGTAAGAAAAGACAGCTCACCTCTTTTTTTGTTTGTATTTTAAACTTTGCAATGAACTAATATTGGTCAATTTCTTTTTTCTTTGTTATGATGCAGAATTTCCAAAATGTGAAAAGACAGTAAGACATTTTTTAACATTTCTCCATGTTTAGATATAAATCAATAAATCAAATATAATATATTCTTATGAAACTTTTGCTACGCTGGTAAATAYTGGAATAAAATCAGTTAAAATATTCACTATATCCAGGTGTAATTTGTGTTTGGTGTAATTTGTATTTACTGATTGATCCTTGTTTCTGCTGCAGAGCCCAGTGGACTGAACCTGAGCCTAGCTTTCTTTTTGACTCACTTTTGAACATGGGCAAGCATATTGGTGCTTTGAGCTACAACATATGGAAAGACCTGAAATATCATGTCCAATATTGTAAGTATTACACAGTGASAGGTAAAAGTTTGGTTTTGTCACAATCCAAACCTAAAGAAAAAATGGCACCAATAATATAGTACAATGTTTTTAAAAAAATATGCTATCTTTGTGTGCAGACCCAGTTGTGTTGGACCCAAACTCGGCCTCTCCATGGCTTTCCTTGAATGGTAGTCTGACCACTGTGAAGGAGAGCTCAGAGCGGCTGACGGTTCCTGAAAACTCAGAGCGCTTCGATCCATGCGTCTTTGTCCTTGGTGCCCAAGGTTACAGTACTGGCAAATACAAATGGGACGTCATCGTTGGCGACAACCCCAAATGGATTCTGGGAGTGTGCAAAGAGACTGTGGCCCGTAAGAAGAAGTTTACACTCTCGACAGGTCGTGGTGTGTGGGTCATCGGGCTGAGTAAAGGAGTGTATACTGCATACACAGCACCTGAGCGGACAGAGATATTGGTGCCGCAGGGTCCTGAAAAAATCCGCATCAAGCTAAATATAGAAAAAGGAGAGGTGTCATTTTGGGATGGGGGGAGAGAAAAGCACCTGGTCACTCTCACACACAAGTTTGAAGATACTACGTTGTATCCAATTTTCGGCCCTGGCCTCCATACTACTCCTATGATTCTGGCTCCCGGAAAAATAGCTGTACACACGTCATAACAACCTAATTTCACAGAAACGGGCTTGTTTATCTAAAGTTGCATAATTTAAAATATATATTCAAACTTCTTGTTTTGTTTTAGAAAATGCAACTTAACTCAATAATGCTTTGCTATCAAATGAATATTGATCAGCATAAATGAGTCTAAAAATAGAACAATTATTAATGCTGGAAATGCATAATAAGCTTAAACCAAAGCAAATACAGTATAAGATAATCAAAGCAAAATGGATGTTCTAAAGTTTCAGAAATGTTTGTACAATGTACTGTGGGAAATTGCGTAATTTGAGATTGTTCAAAGCATGGTATTGTTTACTGGTCAATAATAATGAAAACCAGTTTCTGCTTTTGTGCCTTTGCTCAAGTAACCTTAATTGATCTCTGATCTATATGATACAGCTTGAGAAAAATACAAAGAGTGTGTTTTTATAATATTTTGGGTGTTTGTGTCTTTCCATTTCTTTTGGGATCCCCCCTTTTTTTTCTTAAAGAAATTATATTTACACTTTTTTTAATCAGTATTTTTTTACATGGCATAATTATTTGTTTTGATTAGAATAATTGAATTGCAAAGCTGTTATTGCATTCTTCAAGTGCTTCAAGTCGATTCAACCACTTATTGGGAAACAGCTGCCTTTATACAAATGTACATTTTTTAACATCTAGCCTTAAAACATGAATGTCATCTGTAACATTTTTTTATTCAATAAAGCAACTAAAATCATTTGTCTTAATTCATACCCTCTGAAACTATTGTATGATCATTATACTGTATGTATTTCTAAAAATGAATGTGGGATACTATCATAAAAGTAATGCAAACTTATCAAACGCTAAATACAATAAGGAATTCTTAACAGAAGTAAAATGCACTCTATTCAGACACTGATTTGTTTATTACAAGTATTGGACTTTACAATATCATTTCCAAACATTGAGGCGTTCTGATATTAACTTTGAACATGTTTAAATATGCTCCATCACTGGTGGTGGTACAGACATCTGAGCTCAGTCTTTGAGAGACAGCAGGCGCAAATCGTGACACCGCACCTCGTACTGGCACTTCCGGTGGCAGGTGCCACAAGTGCCACGAACTTCGTCTAACTTCGGCTGACTTCGGCGCCTACTAATGGCACTTCCGGTGGCAGGTGTCACAAGTGCCACTGTTTTCGGGGCGAGCTGCCAGTGTTGCCACGGACTTCGGCTGACCTCGGCACCTACTAATGGCACTTCCGGTGGCAGGTGTCACTGTTTTCGGGGCGAGCTGCCAGTGTTGCCACGGACTTCGGCTGACCTCGGCACCTACTAATGGCACTTCCGGTGGCAGGTGTCACTGTTTTCGGGGCGAGCTGCCAGTGTTGCCACAGACTTCGGCTGACCTCGGCACCTACTAATGGCACTTCCG